TGAATACTGTTTTTAATTTTGATAATTTGCTTAATAATTTTAATTGTGTGCAATACTAAATAATAATAATAATAATAAAATGTAACATAAAAGCAGAAAAAATTCCAAAACTTCTCCCACACCAAGATTAGTAGGATCGATTGTCTTTCCTCCACAAAATATTCCTGGTTGTGGAGAGCAATCCACAAGTTATGTGCTCCCTGACCTGAATGGTCTAGGCAAGAATCAGCATCCTTTAAGGGGGTCTTGGCTACTTTTGGAGAGGTGAATGACTTTGAGGACTAAATAAACATCCAAACCTTATAGGATGCATATCTAATTCAAGTGGCTTGGAGAATTAAACTTTTATTTAAGTTTAAGTAAACTTTTATTTAAGTGCAACAAACATGCAGAAAAGTGCACAAATAATAAGTGTACAGTTTGATGAATTTTTAGAAAGTGCCCACACGTTTAACTAGCACCCAGAACTCAAAAAAAGAACATAACGTAGCATCCAAAAGGCTCCCATTCCCAAATGTAACCCGATTTTTATCACCATAAATTATTTTGTCTTTTTTTGTATAAGTATATAAGTATGTGGCTTCTTTCATTCAATATTACGTGTTGTGGGATTCATCCATGTTGCTGGGTGTAGCTGAAGTTTACTTAATATATGCATAATCTTTAGATGTTTGAGCTAATCCAGGTTTTGCTAATATAAATAGTGAGTGGTTCTATAAATATTCTATTAAGTTTAACTATGTGAAATTGCAATTTTTGTAATTTAGTAACTGTCAGAAATTGGCAATTTATGTACAGTTGAACTATTACATGTCTTTTAGTGCACATATTTGCATTCTGTTGAATATATACCCGGGGTGGGATTTCTGAGTCCTCAACTATACATATGTTCAGCTTTAATAGATACTGCCAAATAGTTTGCCAAAGTGATTCACACTTCTATCAGCATGTATGTTATGTGACTTCCGCCTCTTTGCCAATCCTTGGATCCACTGATCAGTATAAAATTTTTCACTTTAGCTATTCTCATGGGTGTGTACTGATATCACTGTGGGTTTTACTTTGCATTTCTCTGATGACTAATACAGGTGAACCCTTTTCATCTGCTAACTGATCATTTGAATATTCTCTTTAGGTGAAGTACCTATTCAAGTCTACTATCCATCTTTTCAGTTGGGTTGTCTGACTTTTTCTTATTAATTTGTAGAAATTTTAAAATATATTCTAGATATGAGTTCTTTGTTAGTTATATGTGTTGCAAATGTTTTCTTTCACTGGTATCTTTTAATTGTTAACCTAAAAATTAAAGGCCAAAGTTTGAGGCAACAAGCATTTGAGATCCAAAAAGAGTAGCTATTCAGGAACCACTGATTCGGGCAGAAACCCAAATAGTGTTCTGATTAGAAGACAAAGCAAGAGGTGTTTATGAGAAAGAGAAGGGGAACAATTACATCAATAGAGGGAAGGCATTTCTATAGGTGCAGATAGTCTAACATAGTGACGCTGATTCCAAACAATGTTTTTAATTTTCAGTCCAGTAGTTATCAGTCTGGTTGCCATAATATGCTTTCTTGTTATCTTTGCAAACATATCTTTGGGACTTGTTGCTTTAGGCCCAGTTCAAAGGTTATTTTGCCCTGCTTTAACATTCCAAAGGTTTGAGGAATAAGATGTGCAAGGCAGTTCCTATGGGATGGCAGCTCCAGCTCCATTTTAAAGTGGCTCCATTTATATTATTTTTTTCGTTATGAACAAATGTTCTTAACTTTAATGAGGTCAAATTTATCTATTTTTCCATTATAATTAATGCTTTTTATGTCATGTTTTAGAAATGTTTGCCTATGTCGAGGTCATGAATTTATGGAACACTAATTTTTAGTTTTTCCCAAATAAACTTAACCTTTTGGATGTTATATATATGATCATTAATTTACCTTTTCAACACACAGTTAATGAATCCCTATGTGTACCAGGCAATGTGCTAGGTATTATAGGGCATATAATTATGACTTGTATCCCTTGTGCACTAGAGGGATCTGGAGAGGCTTGGAGAAGTGGCATCAATTGCTCCAGTTTACATTGTTAGTATGCTGAGTTTGGAACACAGGGTTAAAACACGGTATTGACTGGCTCCAGAGTTTCAGTACAACTACCGAACCCCCTCTGTATCCAGTGGAATGTTGAGAGACCAGGAATGGATTTTTGATATATTCTACTTGGTAGCTTCCAGATCACCTTGGGAAAATGTATAGAGTCAAATAAGAGGACAAAGACATGTAGTCAGAAGCAAAACAAAACAAAAAACCCTATAGTTCAAGACAGTATATATTGTTAGGGAGATATGAGTCAGTGCTGGAGAGAAGGGAGGGAGGCATCTGGCTTTGGAAACAGGAGGCTTCTCGGGGCAGGGAATACCCTTGCTGGCCCGTAAAAGGGGAGCAGAATTCAGACAATTTTAGGAAGAGAGCATCTGAGGGAAAGGGTCTAGCAGGTGCAAAGCCGCAGAGGTGAGACAGTGGGAAATCTGAACCCTCTACTCACTCACAATATTGCTACTCCCAGAGTTCTCTCCTTCATTCACTGTGCTTTGCTCATACTCCCCGTCTCCCTGGCTCATCTCAGCATTTTCATGGGATAAAGTGTCCTCTGTATGCTGATGGCTTCCAAATCTATACCCCAGCACAGTCCTCTCCCTCAGCTTCAGACTTACATTTCTATCTACTAAACATCTCCACCTTATGTAGCTTTAAAAACGAATCGGTGCTTTTAAAAAAATGAAACAGGAAATATCAAGGAACATTATATGTAAAAACACAAAGTATTTTTAATGGAGGATATGTTTCACACGTACATCTATGCGTCCTGGGTCATGGTAAAAAAAGTTTTAAAAACATAAAAAACTAGATAACAGGCTAGACATAATGATGGAAGGAGTAGGAGGAGCCAGGGATACCTGCATCCGGGCAACAAAACTAGGGAAGTGAGAAGGAACTGGTTTTGGGGGAAGATGACGACTTTCATTTTGAACACATTGATCTGGTTTACAGTAAATCACGCAT